TGGAGAAGAAGGAAACTTCTCCTCAGGTGATTCTAATGTGGGTGGTCCACAGACCATGCTCTGAGAAACTGACCTAGAGGGGAAGGACCATGTTCTCTCCTTGTCTTTTGTGGAGTAGATCCTCAGTGAGTATTTGCTGAATGAATATACCCCAGTGCCAGAGCTCTGATGCAGAGCTCTGCTCCTGTTTCTTTTTCAGGTTTGGCATTGGCCGTTTCACTACAGAGGAGGAAGTGGACTACACAGTGGAAAAGTGCATTCACCATGTGAAGCGTCTTCGAGAAATGAGGTATGTGCTGTTGTACCAGAGACCCTTTGGAAGAAAGTGCAGTGTTGGCTGCTCTCTTGTCCTCAGACTATGTGCTCACACTGCCAAAAACCAAAGTTTGAGAATACCTAGCTTTTAGGATTTAGAAGTTTCACAAAGCAAGAAAGTGGATCTCCTTGGTTACTTGTATTTAGAATATGAAAATGTGTTTTTAAAAACCAAAGAATTGGGGCCGGCCTGGTGGCACAGCGGTTAAGTGTGCATGTTCTGCTTCTCGGTGGCCCAGGGTTTGCTGGTTTGGATCCCGGGTGCGGACATGGCACCGCTTGGCAAGCCATGCCGTGGTAGGTGTCCCACATAGAAAGTAGAGGAAGATGGGCACGGATGTTAGCTCAGGGCCAGTCTTCCTCAGCAAAAAGAGGAGGACTGGCAGTAGTTAGCTCAAGGCTAATCTTCCTCAAAAACAAAAAGCAAAAACCAAAAATCAAAGAATTACATAAATTCAGATGTTTTTCATTATTGTTATTGATAGTATTGATAGTTGTCATTGCAGCAATATAAATAAAAAATTCGTGATTTGTAGACTAAGAATAGGAAAATTCCCTTTAAGATAGGGACTGTTTATTTTTTTTTAAAGATTGGCACCTGAGCAAACAACTATTGTCAATCTTCTTCTTTTTTTCTTCTTCTTCTTCCCTCCAAAGCCCCCAGTACATAGTTGTATATTCTAGTTGTGAGTGCCTCTGATTGTGCTATGTGGGACGCTGCCTCGGCATGGCCTGATGAGCAGTGCCATGTCCACGCCCAGGATCTTAACCAGCAAAACCCTGGGCCGCTGAAGCAGAGCTTGCAAACTTAACCACTCAGCCATGGGGCCAACCCCGAGATAGGGATTCTTAATTTGGGTTCTGTGGCTGGACTTCAGGAGTTACAAGATAGCCCTCAAATTATATCCTAAATATTGTGCAGTTGTGCATTTTCTTTGGAAGAAAGTCCATAGTTTTTGTCAGATTCTCAAAAAGTTAAGAACCACTACTCAGTGTTTTCTTCGTAAAGGTGCTTACAAAGGTCAGAGATCCTTTACCAGCCAGCTGCCACCAGGGATTCTCCTAGTAGTCATAGAGCTCCACTTCCTCCTGGGAACATTGAGGCTTCTAGATTTTTTCAGAGTCTGGCTCTGTTTTGGTTCAGTTTGACTTCTAATATTCTCTTGGTCTATAGAGTGAGGAAGTTCAAGTATATACCCTGCTTCCCTTTGTGAGCTCTCCCAGGCTTTTCTGGGCTCTGGATTTTTCTTCCCAGGTGCTAGTTGTAGTGCTTAAATATCTACAGCTTGCTTAGCTTTCTTGGGCTCAAGATTCCTCCTTTGCTTGGCTTTTTGGTATTCTCTGGCAACACTCAAAGGGCATTTCTACTGACCATGCTGCCAACAAAGCTTTATTCTTTCTATCTGTATGGTTTCAGCATCTTCACCCTATTCCTTCTGACTCTTTACAAACTGAATTCAGCCTGGTGCCATTAGCCCTCAGCCAGAGCTTTATTTTGTGAGTCATGATAATAAGTGACCTTCCCTAAAGAGGAGGGGCAGGAACGAGATGGCTAACTTTAAGGAGCCAAGGAAAATTTCATAAATAGAAAGGCATGCTGGGAATGCATAGTGTAAAGGGGAGGGATAAGCCAAGAGTAGAATGAAATTGGGAAGAAGAAAATTAACTGGAGAAATCCAAACCACAAATCCCATGGTCATAACACACTGAAGTAATTTCTTGTCTAGGAACATTATCCAAGACGTCCAAGCTGCAGGGGGTCAGAGCTTAGCAGAGATTTCTCAGCAGCAGTTCTTGTGTGAGATGGGATGACCAGGTCTAAGATACAAGAGGTCCTTTTGAATTGGAGCCAGGGATGTTGGAAGCATAGTCCAACTCTGGGGAGATGAAGCTGGCAGGAATTGGGTAAGGGTGCTACATACCCAGGTCATTTAGGGCGAAGTTCTAGCCCTAACTGAGAACTAGAGCAAAACCCAGAAAGAAGTGCTGAAAAGTGGTCCATTTGTGGTGGGGGTTAGTAGAGAGGCTGAAACTTGCTGCTCACACAGATCCCAAGGGTCTTGGTTCCTCCAGGAAGACTGACCACAGCCTCTCATGAATGGGATGAGAGCTTCCTGAATATGACCACACCTGATGCCATTGGCTTGGCCCAATTGGAGCTGAGCCTGGGTACCTAGTTATTACTGTTTGTTGACAGCTGGGGAGAACCTAGAGCAAATAAGGACTTACAGATAGCTGGGAAAGACTTGCTAGCCACTTGTGTTGGGGTCTATCAGAGCAAGGGAGTGGAGGAGAGACAAGAACAGATGGAGGCAAGTCAGGGCTCAGGGCCTAGGAGCCAATGTTGTCTGCTTCCTGTCTAAGCCCTCACTCATCCAATACCTCTTCTCTTTGGCAGCCCTCTCTGGGAGATGGTGCAGGATGGCATTGACCTCAAGAGCATCAAGTGGACCCAGCACTAGAAGAGTGGGCCTCTGTCTTTGTACTGGCCCAGCTCCTGCTGCCTCACCAACCCATGCACAGCTGGGCACCTTGTTACATTCAGTGGATGCTCCATGTTCGAAGCAGAGTTGGGATAGCCCAGTTGACTTCAGCATCAGCTCCCCTCCAAGAGAGAAACAGAAGAAAACTATCTTTCCCCACCCTCAGCTCCTTTGTTGGGAAACACTTCCCATTTGTCTCCAGTAGTCCTTCTCTGGTCTTATAGTGAGTGCATAGTCCCATCCTGAAACAGGAGGGACATTTGCTATGCTATTGCTGCTGGACATGTCTCTGTCCTTGGTGGGGAGAGCCAGAAGAACTGGAAGAAGGCTCTTTGTTCAGGAATCCCGATGCTGTACGTGGACATTTGAGTTGTTGCTTACTGCTGCTCAGCAAGACTGACTTCTTCAGGAACAAGCATAATCAACTATGACTTAAACTTTTTTGTGGCTCCAAAGGCCACCTCTTCATCTTGAGTATAGACCAAATAGCAAGTTTCCTAGAAGGCTTGTCTCCTTTCTGTTCTTGTCCTCCTTCCTTTCTTTGACCTAATAGAGCTAGAAATACCTATGTGAATCCACCCATTATTCTAATAATTTATATTTCTTTTAAAAAATTTGTCAATGTGCAGATTCGAAAAATAAAATCACCTTCCTCCATTTACTCTATGACTTTATGAGAGGCTCAGGGGACAATTCCAAGCTGCACTTGGGAACTGTGGGGCAGACTGTCACTCGACTTGATTTCCATAGATGACTCAGTCTGCTGGCACATCTCTTCATTCAACAATTATTTGAGTGTCTGTCAGGAGCCTGATAGTGTTATGGGTTTTGGGGATACAGTGGTGAACAGGACCAAAAAGGGCCCTGCCCTTATTGAGCTTTCATTCTAGTAGAGAAACAGAAAATAAAAAGGAAACAAATAAGGCTATTTTAGCTTGTGATGAGTACTATGGGAGAAATAGAATGGTAGGAGGAGATGATGGGGAGAACCTACTATGTTGGGTGTACTAGGCAAGCTTTTTTGAGATGTTACTTAAGCAAAAATGTGATTTCCAGCTATGGAAAGAGCTAGGGACCAGTAAGGGATGAGAAGGAGCAGCAAGAGCAAAGGGCCTGAGGTATGAAAAAGCATGCTGTGTTTGAGAAACCAATAGAAGGCCAACAGAGCTAGAGTAGTATTTTTCAATTTGTGGATCTGAAACCATAGGTGGACAGTTGCCAGCACTAAAAAAAACAAGAGAAAAAATAAATTTGAGTACATCATGTATTTTAAGTATTTTATTTTGATTATATATTTGAATGTGTATACCAGGTTATAAACATATCTTATGTGGGTGATGGTCAAAAAAATTTGAAGACCACTAAGTTAAAGTATGATGAATGCAGATGGACGGGGAAGGAGGAGATGAGATTATCTAAGTTTTTTTAAAATAAAATTTTTTATTTTGAATAATTTTAGATTTAGAGAAAGGTTGCAAAGATAGTACAGAGTTATATATTCATCACCCAGTTTCCTCTAACTATAACATAAAACTATAGTACATATGTCAAAACTGAGATTAACATCTGTATGTTAGTATAAACTTCAGATTTTGTTCAGATTTCACCAGTTTTCCCACTAATATCTTATTAGTTCCCTTATTCTGTTCCAGGATCCAATCCTGGATACCACGTTGCATTTAGTAGGTTTTGTTTTTAATACACTATATTATACCTACAAAGAGTACATAATATTTCCGTATCAAAATAATACTAAAGTGCAGCTGTCTGGGGAGTTAATGAGGTCTGGTAGGTAAGGCTCCCTGGACCGAAATTTTTTAATGGGAAAAAAGATCAGGTAGGTTTTGATTCTTCTGTCAGGGCATCATCAATAGAACTAGGCGTCACTCTGTGGTCCATTTAATCCTCAAAACAATTCTGCGAGATAGGCACTACCTCCCTCCTTTCGCAGAGGCTCGAAAAAGTGAAACAATTGGCACAAAGTCCCGCTGTGAGGGGCCGAGCCAGATACTGGTGCCCATCCCACCGCGCAGCCTCCCTCCCCCAAAGCCGGGGCTACTGAGAAAACATCGCAGGCCGGCACTCTTAGCTCCTCTTGCCCCAAAGACGGGCTACTTCCGGGAGATTGCCCGAGAACGTCAGCGCGCTTGCGCCGCCCCGCCCCGTGACGCCAACCACTCCGTCCCGCCCCTTCTGGAACGGGGAACCGCTGAGCGGGCCGGCGGCCATTTTGTGAAGCGGCGAAGGAGGTGGTGACTGCTGTGGGCTCCGGGAAGCCATTCGGGCTGGGGCTGTCGGCCGCGGGGCGGAGGCACTCGCGCGGGGGGTAACTCGGGTCTGGGTTCGGGTGCCGCGCAACTCTCCCGGGTAAGACTCCCGCAGCCCCGGAACGGGCGGGGCTGTGCGGGGCTCGAGCCGCCCCTTGGTGGCCTGGGGCGGGGCCTTCGGAGGCCTCCGTGCCCGCTGCAGCGAGCGCCCCACACAAAAGGGTCGGGGCATGGCTGCGGGGGGCCTGGGGCGCCACTTGTGCCTCTGAGGCCTGAGAAGTGCAAGACGGACGCAAGAGAGGATGAGCCTGCATACCGAAGTGGGGACGAGGGCGTAGCGAGGACGCCCCGGTGGTCTTGAGAGGGAGGAGGCCAGAGCTGGGTGGCCCAGCGGCCTGCGAACTAACGGGGACTGTAGTGAAAACACACCTACATTCCGAATGAGCAACATTTCTGTGCCCTCAAGTGGGGCAGAGATTATAACTACATCTCCATGGCCCGAAGTGAGGAGATAATCGTAGTTAGGACGCTCCCTCCACCCGAAGTGGAAAGGAGGCCCTTGTGGCCTACCAGAAAGTGGGGACTGCAGTCAGCACACACCTGTGGGGAGGAAGCTGTAGTCGCTACGCTCCTGCGAGTCTAGGAAGGAAGTCTCAGATTTGGCCGCCTTCGTGGCCTGAAGGTGGAGGGGGTTGCAGTGAAAAGCTTCCAAGGCCCAGCGTTGGGGCGGGGCTTACCCTCAAGGGTGTCGGCGATTTGAGAAGCTGGCCTCTGTAGCCAGAAAGTGGGGGTGAGTACCCCTCTGAGCCTCTGAGAGTTGTAGGATGCCAGGCCCTTGGTCCCCAAGTAGGGAAGGGAGTGCTACGAGCACCACCTTGACGGATCCCTTGGGAGAGAGCCTCCAGCACTGAAGCAGGAGGAGGTCCAATAGGATGTTAAGGGTGGGTGCTCCTGATGGAGAGTAAATTGAGTTTCTCTAGTGAAGGCTGGAGGTGCTAGTTTGCAGCCACGTGAAATGCGTGGGAGGGGCTTTGAGGATCTAAAGGTTAGTGACCGAGATGGACACTAGTGCAGGAGGCTTAGCTGCCAGATTGTAAATATAGGACATGTGTGCCTCCATTGTGTGCTTTATAGTGAAAAAACTGAGGGGCTCTGGTGAAGGTTACTCTGGGTTACTCAGCACTAAACAGACGCTGGAGTTGTATACTGTGAGTTGCAGCCTCGGTAGGGGAGATTTCCGGACCCTAAAACCCCCCTTGGCTTCTGGATTCCCAGAGATGACCTAAAGTAAATTGGGGTAGTTGGCAGGAACCATTCTGTGTTATTCAAGATTAGGGTGGTGCGAGTCAGTATAACCTGGAGAAAAATTGATTGCAACTGAAGGTTGTTGAAGTCGAGACTTGTGACTGGAATATTTCTCTTAGAGCTTTTTGCTTGAATGGTTTAAAATGGTGTAATTTTTGTAAAATGCAGTATTAGGAACATGAATTGCCTTGGACCTTGCTATCTAGTTTATATTGTTAATGCATTTCAGAGTATTTGCAGTTGAAAAAATCCTACAAGTCTGATAATATAGGCCAATCTTGTTTTGTTTTTTAATTATAGAGATAAAGACTGGTTGTACTTGTTTTTGAAATTTGGTAATTTTAATAGAATGGAGGATTTCTGGATTTAGGGGAAGTAATTGTGTTCAGGCATTTTCCAAGAATATTAAAAGTTGGGAAGAAGTGTTACAGGTGGTTAAAATAATTTATTGTAATTAATTTTTGAAGAAAATGAAATGTTTGATGTGTTTATATATAAGTTGAGGTCGTGCTTAGTATTACTCAAAATTTTTTTTTAACGAAACGAGTTCATTTATATATCACCTTTATATGCTCGATTAAATATTTTGCTAATGGATTGTAATGCATAATTTTACCTTTTCTTATGTTCATATCTCTTAGATGAAAAATGCGAAGCTTTAGAAACATTATGGTAGTTACTTGGAACACGTTATTTGCTAATACTAGTATACTTCAGGCTTCTTTCACTTTGTTCGACATGCCAGATGTTTTGACGGTTGCGTATTAAGAGTTTGGGGGTTGTTGGTGCAATTTTTAGATGTGAAACTTGAGTTTGTGGGCCTGTGTGTTCCAGGTGCTGGAATCCAATGACAATGTTCGTACCGGTTTTATTCCGTTTTGTAGAGAGCCACTCTATCATTCAGTTTAGATGAATATTTTCTTCTGTTGTTGTTTTTGGAAGAACTAAGTGTCAGTAATTGGTTGCACAAAAGATATTCCTCTTTTAGACGCTTTTGGATATCCCTCCCTAAAATACAGGGACTGTCGTCCGTTTCTCTCTGTCCTGCCTAGCCCGTAAGCGCTTAATAAATGTTTGTGGAATAAATGAGTATTGTTAAATGTTTTAGGTCAATTAAGCAGAAAAATAACTTCAGCTAATTTATGGTTTTATATTTTTACTGCCACCACCCATATACCTTTTGGTTTGCATAGAGTTTAGTTCATTAAGTTTAAAGCCAGCTTTTAAGTCTTAAGACCAATAGTGAGGGTGAATGTGTTTGGCTTGGTTAGAAGTAATATTGTTGTTTTGAAGTTTAACTCAAGTAAGATAAACATTTTTGTTGGCATTTGGGGGGATTGAAAAATAATATTATAGTCTTTGACAAGTGGAATAAAAATCTTATTTAAAAATGTCTTTTGATTTGCTGCCTTTGACTACTGACTAGAGGTTAATGGGAAAATTGAGTAATGTGCTATCAAAGGGATACATCGCCCTCAGTGTCAGAATAATTGTCTCGTTAAGAATGATCCCAGAATCTAAAATGTGATCCGTTTGGGGCTGGGGACAAAATCTAGCGGATGAAGCTGTGTTTTTTCCGTAATGCCTACTATAATGTAATCATGCTGCTTATAGCATTGTGCCCATTATGATTGGTTCTCTGTTGCTCATCTCTGAGGTGAACATTTGAAGAGTGCTTGTTTTTGTTTCTTTTGAATCTGAAGAACTTACCTGTGCGTACCCTGGTTTTTGCTGATTAAAGACTGATTACTGAACAAAGTTAAAATTCACTTTTGGACGTTTATTACCAGATGAAGAGTAGAAATGGTCAAGTTTTGGTTTGTGTCTTGGCTTCCTGATAAAGAAGATTGTTGTCAGATATTTTATTCTGAAATTCTAAGTGATTGGAATGGCTAGTATATAAGAAAATCTACCTTGTCATAATAATATGCTAACTTATTGTAGCAGATATTTGTAATTTGTGCATGTCCTTGGTATTTATAAAGCTCAACCAGAGCCACTATGTTAGGACTAATTCCTAACATGAAGTGGAAAAATATGCTAAGGCAAGCTTCTTGTTTTAGATCTGAAATATATCGGTGTTGATTTAATGGCAAATCAGGCCCACTTTCTCCTTCTGTACCCTTAGACTCTATGTATAGGTAAAACATGTATTTTAGATGTTTCATTTTATAGAATTGTTTCAGTCTTATCCTTCTAAAATTTACCAAAGCTTAAGATACTTGGCACGGATTTTTCATTTTAGTATCCTGCATTCAGTTGTTAGCGACGTGTAGAACACAGGAGTGAGTAGATTCCTGGAAAACAGTGATGCCTCTGTTAAATTATTACGCTCTTTACAAAGTGAAGTGTTGAAAATAAATAAAAGTACTTCAGTTTTCAGTTTCTATTTACTTTGCCCATTTGAAGGAAGAGGTGTAACACCAAGAGTTGTGAAGTTCTGGCTCTAGCCTAAACTTTCTGCATACTTTTTTTTGGAATGGAGTGAGATGGGGCTTCCCCTCTGTTGAAGATTCATAAATTTGTGTATAGATTGAGTTTGTACTTTAAATTTATTACGTAAAACTTGAACTAGGCATTTGCCAAATTCGAGTAGGCCTTTCAACTTTTCCATGTGCAATGAAACGTTTCCTTCTTGTTATAATAATTTCTGGCAACCCTGTAGAAATTTTTGAGAGTAGACCTAGTGTGTTTCCTTTGGGCTTAACTGGCTGACTCTGAACTTGTTCCTTTCCAGATAGACATATGGTGCCTTCTTGGGTCTGAAAGGGAAGCAGCTGAGGAACCTGTTTCCCTTACCTTCAGGGCACGTGTCCTGGCCCCACACCAGACCGTTTAAATTGGAATCTCCAGTAGGGGATTATCTATTTATCACAAGTGCTTAACTAGAAAATTACCCTGGTTCTGTGGCTCCTAGAGTCATATCTGTACATTTAGAAATAAATATTGGAAAAATTTATGCTCTTCCTCATTGAGCCTTTACATAAAAGCAAACTTTTTTCTGTTTCCCCTTGTGACCCGTAAGATAAACTACTAGATGTGGCTTTTAAATGAAGAGTTTTAAAACTCTTTAGACTTAATTAGGATCAATGTGTACAACATGTAAAAGATTAATACGATGTTCTGGGCTTTGGAAAGTGTTGTTTATGACATATTTGCATTGCTTTTTGTGGAAAAACAACTTCACTGTTCTTTAGTAATTTGAGGAGTTGTCTAGAAGATCTTTAGCTTGTCCTTTAGAAAAGTGTGGAGTAACTAAAATTTTTGAGTATGTTTTACTTTTTGGTGATGAATAGTAAGCTCACTGGTGGTACCTTGATTTTGAAAGTAGTAGTTAAAAATGAGCATCATTCTAAGTAGTTGTCTACTTGTAATCTTAATACCTGACAGTGACATTTTTTCTACCGTTTCTCTGAATTAAAAAACGACCTTTTGAATAAAGTTGTTTAATCGTTTGGTCATATATATTGCTTGTGAATTGTTCATAACTTAACCGGTTTGGGAGAAATTCCAGTGAAACATGAGTGACCTGATTTTACTTTGAGAAGTACTCTTAATATGCCAGACATTTTTAGGGATTTTTTTTTTTTTTTTTTACAAGTTTCTTGAAACTGTGTTAGAAGAAGAAGCACTTTTCCTTAATATTTGAATCCCAGTGGTTTTAACTAGGAATTAGTGCTTATGGCCAGAACTTTTGCTTCATTTATGGTTTTTGATGTTTGATGCTATTTTGGTGCAAAGGAATATATGTTGAAAGAGTAATTGCAGTAATTTCCATGAATACCCCTGAATTGATGACTTGATTTGTCCAGGAACTGTTATTGTGTGAACTTGTGCTTTTTCATAAAAAATTTGGTGAGAACCAGAAGAAATAGGTTGTAGTTGGACTTGTGGTATGGAATTTTCTGGACTGGTGTAATCATCAAGTGATAAAAGCAGTTACCAACTGCGAAGCTGAGCTTTATGGCTGTTTTAGTTTTCAGTTGATTTGTTCTTGGGCTAATTTATGACACATTTTTGATGTATGTAAATATATAATGTTTTGAGAGAAACAAATTTGAAAGCAGTATCAAGTAATAAGCATGTGTGGGATTTTGGTACATGCCCTTTTTTTTTTGATATGCATTCTAATGAAGTATTCTGGTGGTTTCAGACTCGCCTTCGTAATGTACAGTTCAGTGTGGCCTGTGCGTGTTGTTTTGTGTTTCCTGCATTGATTTTTGCCTCCGTTTATTCTCTATTGCAGTCTAAAAGTTGGTTTTAATTGGTTGCCCACAGGATTGACTTGGCCTCTACTTCTTGTTAAGAAAATACATCTCTTGTTTTATCAGGTAAGAGATTTTGAATAGAGGGTTTGTTTTTATACAAAATAAATGAGATAGCTTATTAAGTAACATGAAAATATGTGTAGGAACTAAATTGTGTTGTTGTTTTTTTAAACAAGCTTATCTGAGGGATGGGGGTGGGGTGGACTGGGTACCTTGTACAGTTGTTGCTTCCTTTGGGGGTTAGTTTTATTTTATATGGATGCATTTCTTCTGTTGTTCCTTATTATTAGGCCGTAAGTAGCTGTTTTCTTTTCCTCAGTAGCATTCTAGACTAATTGCAAATACAGGTGCTTGTTATTGGTATGGTTTTTTAATATTCCTTAGGGATAATAGTTATAGATAATGGGTCCTATGTTTTAGAGTCCAAATTTTGAATTTAGATGGAACCTTAGTAATTGGAATCTAACTCTTTTGTTAATAGCTAAGGTAGGCTCAAGATAGGTTGAAATTAGTTATCTGTCAAACAGGTACTTAGTAGCAGAGTGGCAGATTGTGTTTCATATTTTTCAGAACCTAAAAACTGTTTTCCTCTTTAGATGGCTTTATGAATAAATCTTATGCTCTACTTTGGTTTAATCCTCAGCCTTTGTAGCTGGTAATCTGAGCAGATTTTCAATATTGTGTTTTCATGTGTACCTTGTACAGACTTTCACCAAATCCCTTCTCTTAGCAGCAAATGGTTTGAAGACTTACTGTGTATGTCACTTTAGCCCTGTGTTTAATTTTTGTGTTCTTAGGACCATATCAAGTTCCCGTTTTATTGTCCCAGTGCAAACTAACATCTCTCTCTCTTTCTCTCTTGAGTTGTTGTGGGTACCTAGATTATCCATGATGTGTCCCCTGTATAGTGATCAAGTGATTAAGCATTTTTCGAAGTTGATCAGGAATGCTCTCTCAATTTTGCATATAGTCAATATTCTAGAGTCAGTAAGCAATGAGAATTTGATTTAATGACGTGGAATCTTCTTGATGAACTCCCTCATAGACTGCTAAATAGTAAATAAGGAGAAAAGAGTCTGTTGGTGTGACTTTTTTAGTATTAATTTTTCTTGTTGACTAATAATGACCAATAATGAAAAGCTTCCTACTTTCCCAAAATTTCTAGTGTTTTATTTTTTCCCTTTTTTTTTTTTTTTGAGGAAAATTAGCCCTGAGCTAACATCTGGTGCTAATCCTCTTCTTTTTGCTGAGGAAGACTGGCCCTGAACCAACATCCGTGCCCATCTTCCTCTACTTTATATGTGGTCACCTGCCACAGCATGGCTTGACAAGCACTGTGTATTTCCGTACCTGGGATCCAAACCGGCAAACCCTGGGCCGCCAAAGCAGAATGTGTGAACTTAACCCCTGTGCCACTGGGCTGGCCCCCAAATTTCTAGTGTTTTATAATGGTCTCACAAAGAGCATTTTCTGTTTGCCAGTTCATCTTTCAGGATTAAATTTGAAGGTGGCTTTTATTTTGGTGTATGTGTGTGTGAGGAAACTGTCAAAGGCAAACAATATATTTCTGTTTTGTGTACAGCAATCATAATATTGAGATATAACTACAGATTTTGTTGCATCGAATTAGTATTCGTTTAATATTTGACTTCGAAAAACTGCTTTCATGGAATTACAGAATTCTTAGAGCTTGCAGCAGGAAACTTTGTTTTTCTAATGTTCTCGTTTGAGAAGTGATAAAACCAAAGTTCAAATAATTTATAATTTTCCTGAAGTCACAGAGCCAGTTTAATAGGTTTATATTCAAAAGTTGATTTTTAAGATGGCTTGGGAAACACCTGGTGTTGTTGACCACATAAATTTCAAATTAATATGTTTCCTGTCCCAAGAATTTGTTTTGTATCACTTTACAGAGAGCTGCCCTTTCATTTATTCTTAGAAGCCATAAGAACTAAAATACTGAAATTTTACTTAAATATGGGAGAAACTTTTCTTTTTTGATTAGATCAAAGTGTGGATCTTATCTAAGGAGGTCAGTGAGCACCCAGCAGTTTCACAGAAATTACGTTGGGTCAGAGACTATAAAAATTACTTTTGAATAAAGTTTATACCCTACTTCCTTTAAAACAAAAACTACCTCTTTTTCATTATCAGCCTTCCCCTATGGAACAAGTCTCTGTTTTTTAATAGAGGGCTTGGGAATGAGTCATTGAACCTGAGTTTTAATTAAAACAGCCATGGTGAATGGCATTGTAAGCAGGTTCTACTTTTCGGAGTGATGAATATAGGTTAACTAAGATTTTGGCTGTTTTACTAAGTATTTCTTTTGGATTCTTAGGATGTATTAACCTTGTTTGTAATAAATAATTCCGTATGTAGTTTTGTTTAATAGATAAAGCTATAAGGCAGATTGAAGAGATTTGGGGTGAAATATGCAATCAATTCTCATTTGAGACTTGAATCTACTTTAGTGTTAAGTATTATTTGTAATATTAGTATTCCAGTTTTCTATTTCGGTTGAATTTTGAGATTGAGCCATATAAAATGACATTGATAATTCTACAAAGTTGTGAAGTTTATAAGGAAGATGCTAAGCCAGTTTTAAATATTAACAGTAATGCATCCTTTGCATGTTTTTTCCCTATAGATTGTTAAAGTTTGTTTCCTGATTTGACTTAGGCATTTCTTTTAAATCTTAGTGAATAATTAGTGGTCTGAATGATGTAATTGGTGATTTTACTTTCCTATGGTTGTTTTTTTCCTGAAACTTTTGAGTCTTGGGACTGAACTTCTAATTGTTTCCAGGATTAATGCCTTTTGGAACTTGAAATTGTCTAGGTTTTACATTGTAAATGGCACAAAATGTTCAGTTTTTAGAATATCCAAAATTAAAAAAACAACATTGCTTGTGATAGTTTGAGGGCCTAATATGGTAGCTGGTCATTCTTGTAGCTAAAAACTTGGTGTGATAAAAAGGAGTCTGACCTGGCCGTTGCCTTTTCTCATCTGCAGGTGTGTGTGGTTTCAGCGCAGCATGGCTGTGGTCATCCGTTTGCAAGGTCTCCCAATTGTGGCGGGGACCATGGACATTCGCCACTTCTTCTCTGGATTGACCATCCCTGATGGGGGCGTGCATATTGTAGGGGGTGAACTGGGTGAGGCTTTCATCGTTTTTGCCACTGATGAAGATGCAAGGCTTGGTATGATGCGCACAGGTGGTACAATTAAAGGGTCAAAAGTAACACTGTTGTTGAGTAGTAAAACAGAAATGCAGAATATGATTGAACTGAGTCGTAGGCGTTTTGAAACTGCCAACTTAGATATACCACCAGCAAATGCTAGTAGATCAGGACCACCACCTAGCTCAGGAATGAGTGGCAGGGTAAATTTGCCTACAACAGTACCCAACTTTAATAATCCTTCACCTAGTGTAGTTACTGCTGCCACTTCTGTTCATGAAAGCAACAAAAATATACAGACATTTTCCACAGCCAGCATAGGAACGGCTCCTCCAAATATGGGGGCTTCCTTTGGGAGCCCAACGTTTAGCTCAACCATTCCGAGCACAGCCTCTCCAATGAACACAGTCCCACCACCACCAATTCCTCCAATCCCAGCGATGCCATCTTTGCCACCAATGCCATCCATTCCCCCAATACCAGTTCCTCCTCCAGTACCTACATTGCCTCCTGTGCCTCCTGTGCCCCCAATCCCCCCAGTCCCTTCTGTGCCACCTATGACCCCACTGCCACCCATGTCGGGCATGCCACCCTTGAACCCACCACCTGTGGCTCCTCTACCTGCTGGAATGAATGGCTCTGGAGCACCTGTGAATCTGAACAATAACCTGAACCCTGTGTTTCTGGGTCCATTGAATCCTGTTAACCCTATCCAGATGAACTCTCAAAGCAGTGTGAAACCACTTCCTATCAACCCTGATGACCTGTATGTCAGTGTGCATGGAATGCCCTTTTCTGCAATGGAAAATGATGTCAGAGATTTTTTCCATGGGCTCCGTGTTGATGCAGTGCATTTGTTGAAAGATCATGTAGGTCGAAATAATGGGAATGGATTGGTTAAGTTTCTCTCTCCTCAAGATACATTTGAAGCTTTGAAACGAAACAGAATGCTGATGATTCAACGCTATGTGGAAGTGAGTCCTGCCACAGAGAGACAGTGGGTAGCTGCTGGAGGCCATATCACTTTTAAGCAAAGTATAGGACCTTCTGGACAAACCCATCCCCCTCCTCAGACACTTCCCAGGTCAAAATCGCCCAATGGGCAGAAAAGGTCAAGGTCAAGATCACCACATGAGGCTGGTTTTTGTGTTTACTTGAAAGGGTTACCATTCGAAGCGGAAAACAAGCATGTCATTGATTTTTTTAAGAAGTTGGATATTGTGGAAGATAGTATTTATATCGCTTATGGACCCAATGGGAAAGCAACTGGTGAAGGCTTCGTAGAGTTCAGGAATGAGGCTGACTATAAGGCTGCTCTGTGTCGTCATAAACAATACATGGGCAATCGCTTTATTCAAGTTCATCCAATTACTAAGAAAGGTATGCTAGAAAAGATAGATATGATTCGAAAGAGACTGCAGAACTTCAGCTATGACCAGAGAGAAATGATGTTAAATCCGGAGGGGGATGTCAGCTCAGCCAAAGTCTGTGCCCACATAACAAATATTCCATTCAGCATTACCAAGATGGATGTTCTTCAGTTCCTGGAAGGAATCCCAGTGGATGAGAATGCTGTACATGTTCTTGTTGATAGCAATGGGCAAGGTCTAGGACAGGCATTGGTTCAGTTTAAAAGTGAAGATGATGCACGTAAGTCTGAACGCTTACACCGTAAAAAACTTAATGGGAGAGAAGCTTTTGTTCATGTAGTCACTGTAGAAGATATGAGAGAGATTGAGAAAAATCCCCCTGCCCAAGGAAAAAAGGGGTTAAAGATGCCTGTGCCAGGTAATCCTGCAGTTCCAGGAATGCCCAGTGTGGGAATGCCCAGTGCCGGAATGCCCAGTGCGGGAATGCCCAGTGCGGGAATGCCCAGTGCTGGAATGCCCAGTGCGGGAATGCCCAGTGCGGGAATGCCCAGTGCTGGAATGCCCAGTGCGGGAATGCCTAGTGCAGGAGGTGAAGAGCATGCCTTCCTGACTGTAGGATCTAAGGAGGCCAACAATGGGCCTCCATTTAACTTTCCTGGTAATTTTGGTGGGTCAAATGCCTTTGGGCCACCACTCCCTCCTCCAGGATTAGGAGGAGCCTTTGGTGATACTAGGCCTGGTATGCCTTCAGTTGGAAATAGTGGTTTGCCTGGTCTAGGACTGGATGTTCCAGGTTTTGGAGGTGGACCAAATAATTTAAGTGGACCAGGATTTGGAGGGGGCCCTCAGAATTTTGGAAATGGCCCTGCTGGCTTAGGGGGCCCCCCTGGCTTTGGAAGTGGCCCTCCTGGTCTTGGAAGTGCCCCTGGGCATTTGGGTGGGCCGCCAGCCTTTGGGCCTGGGCCTGGGCCTGGGCCTGGCCCAATCCACATTGGTGGTCCCCCTGGCTTTGGATCTAGTTCTGGAAAACCAGGGCCAACAGTAATTAAAGTGCAGAATATGCCCTTCACTGTGTCTATTGATGAGATTTTAGATTTCTTTTATGGCTATCAAGTGATCCCAGGCTCAGTGTGTTTAAAATACAATGAAAAAGGTATGCCCACAGGAGAAGCCATGGTGGCCTTTGAATCTCGGGATGAAGCCACAGCTGCTGTCATTGATTTAAATGACAGACCTATAGGCTCAAGGAAAGTAAAACTTGTATTAGGGTAGCTGTTCACATAAATCCTTTATAGGGTAGATCTTCATAGTGCTGTGATTAATGCATCCAGATTGTTTTCCTAGTATTTCCAGGTTAGAACCTGTGGATTGTTTCAATTGCATATAGATTGGTTTTCATAACATAGAGCATTGGTTGACTGTTTACAGAAGACTCACTACCGGGATAAACATTGCTGTATGTTACAGTAAAGCTGTCTGGAGAGAACACAAAAATGATTTTGGCATACCGTTAGAGAAACCATTTGTAAAACTCAAATGACCACGTAAAGCTTATCAAGGAGTCTAGATTGGTTTTGTTTTATACCATATGGGATGAAGAAAATAGAAATGTTAATAGAGCTCATTCAGGGTGCTCTTGCCAGCTGCTGAAAAATGAAAGTTGGCTACTCTTGGAATTTGGTTTAAAGCTGGACGGATTTGCTTTGTTATAGGGTCAAAGCTTTGTCTAAAGTCCTTATTTTCTTTTAAAATTGAATAAAATCTCTGTATACAGATTCACTGTATGTACCTTTATTGCTTCTTGAGGGTTCTTGCTGTACAGACAGTCCTGCTTCTGAAGTTGCTGCTTTGTTTGCGTAATTGACTCATTTGTAAATGAGCAAAACTGTTGTTGTTTTTTTAATATAAAACTCCACACTTGGTTTGTGCTAAACCTGAAACTTTGATTTCTAATGTCACGGTTAAAACTGTGTGCAATAAGACTTTTGCCACAAAAATAAAATATGGAGTACTCTACCTACCAGAGCCTTTTTGGTTTGACCGCCAAGTTTTAGTTGTCAGTTTTAAAATTGTTCATATTGTTTGGATGGCATCAAAAACCAGAAATCACTTTTAATAATCATTGTTTAAGATGCTTGATTCGAAGTCCTGTCTATGATGGACTAATGTTCTGGCAATTTCCTTCTGTCCCAATTTATGTGAAATTTTGGCCTGTAACTAAACCAAGAGGGCCCATTCATAAGAAAGCATTATTTTATCTAGGTTTTTAAAACTGAGGTTGAAATTGTTAGCTTTGTTAGCAATAGTGTTATAGAATAAAAGATCCATAAACTGGTCCGTAGATTGGTATGCACTTAATCCTGTTACTTGGAGGCTTTTTGGTCTAGTTGTTTGATCAGGACCCTGTTTACAAAAATTCTTCATACAGAGTGTAAATGCAGCTGCCAGAGGGGAGAGAATTGAGACTCCTTGCCCTTTCATACTCTCTTCTTTGGCATTCAGGACACTAAGGCAGGAGGACCACATGGGTTCTGGTTGGTAAGTGTCCTTGTTATGAAAACATTTGCCTTAAAATGTCCTGCTCACTGCCACAGAAGGCTCTACTTACTTTCCTTCTTAGTTGAAATGCTCTAAAGATGTGTCACATTATATTACAAACATATGGAATGGGAGATTAGTGAGATATCATGAAAAACAAATTTTGTCTTTTACATTGGCCTCTGTCTTGGTTTGAAACATCCCCAACATTTCCTACCAATCAATGTACTTACAAAGCGGTCAGCCTTTTAAAAGAAGTATTTCCTATTAAAAAAAAAATAGTGCCTTTTTGGTGTTGTAAGTCAGTGGAACACTGAAATATAGCAGTTGTGTAATTTAGAGTTAAGAGTGGCAACAGTTTCATTTGTGTGATAAGATTTGGAAAGCCTTTTCATCACTACAATCTTAGAGGATTGACAGTACAGGATTTTTTGTTTAGGGAAAGGATTGTTTAGACTTTCAAAGAAGACGTGGCTGTGTTGTGGGTCTTTTGATAATTCACGAATACAAATTTGCTTTGACAGATCACTAGATATTGCCTCCTCAACTAAAAAAGCAATATGATGTTTGTAAATGCTGTTCAATTTAAGTTTTCTGTTAAGTAATCTCTTCTCATTCCAAAGACAGAGTGCAAAAAAACTTCAGCGCTGCTTGGGAGTCTTATTTCAACTGCAGATTATTTTCCCCATTGGAAAGCTGACTATTTTCATTTTAGAAAAATGAGTTTGAAGATGAAAGTCTTTGATCTTTTTTCACAATTTATTTTGGTTATATGTTCGTACATTCTTATTAAATATTTCATATACTTTATTGCAACTACTTTGTTATTTCTACATCTTAGATGCTGAAAAGGAAAACTTGATTTCATTGTTCATTAAATTAAATAAAATAAGAATATAGTAGTTTGTGTAGAAATTGGAGATAACTGTTTTATATTTGGTTGAATCACAACAGTTCTTCTCTTGTTGTGAAATGTAATTAAATGCTTTGCCCTCTGGAACTTGATTTTTGTGTACCTGAGACTTATTAACATAGTGCTAACTGCTAAGCATACTGTTCATAAGCATACTGTTCTGGGCATTGGAGTTTGAGTTTTAAAAAATTCTCAAAAATATGTTCTGTGAAACTATTCATCTCTCTCTTCCTGCAGGTTTTCTCTTAAGAACTAGGTTTGGGGTGAAAATGAATTAACATTATTTTCTCATTTGCTTTGTATGGTCTGAAGGATCTGTAAAGCTTTGCTCCAAGTTGTGTGCATTTGTAAACACTATCGTGATATTTTCAATTTTATGTGTAAATTTTATTGTCTGTTTTTAGTGACTGACATTAATCGAAGAGAATCTTTTGCTTTAGGTTTAATTTTTTTCTCCCCTTCGATGAGTTGTGTTGTTGTTTATTTTTTTAGTTTAAAGGATTAGAGAAATCTATAAAATGTGTTTTATAAATAAGCAAATTTGTAAACTTTTGCTGAACTTTAGTGAAACATTTAGTTCACAAGCAAAATTTGGAGGTGTGTTCTTTGTTTACACTGTAGTTTGGATGTACAATTATTAGTGGCTTTTTTTTTTTAATGCAACACTGTTAAGTGAAATGTAGTTCCTAGCTTTGTGCTCCAAGTTGTCAAAGCTTCAACAGTGAAAATTCCATTAGGAAGCTTTATTAAAAATTTCAGAGTAATATTAAGTGTAATTAGGTCAGTCTTAACCCACTGAATGAAAATCTAGGGCTGTGTATGGAAGTAAGCAAACATACATTTTGGGGGGAAATACCTTGGATAAAAATAAGGATGCATGAAAGCCTTAATCAAACTCAAAGTCCCTTTTATTGGATTCTGTCATTGTGTACAGTTGTGGATCAAGTGTTTAAAAATAAATCCACTCATCACTTTCATGAACACTTAAAAAAATGAGTAAAGAAAATGTAAAATTGCTTCTAGTCAAATCTTCTGGAAAGAATTCCTGCCAGTGATCACTTTTAAAAATTATTTCCCACTCTTGGAAAAATTACCACATTTAAATAGTTGTACTGGCAGTTCTGTAGTAGTCCAAACTTTAGAAACCAAACACAATAAAATGACTGGTTGCCGGTATGGCCACAACATTGCCAGCAAATACTGCTTTGGCATCATTCAGCAGAGGTTTTTGTTTATAAAGATGAAGTCTTGAATACTGTTCAATAAACTTGTCACAAAATAAAACAGGCTGATGCTTTTAATGCTTTAACTGCACAAGAGTATTCTATGGAGCTATACCATCAGGTTATTTTTGTGTTTTTTCTTAACTACTGAAAATATTTTGTGCCTTTGGAGAGGTGGATTTGGTGATCTTGGAGGTAACAATTGTTGCTTATCCTTCTGCTAATGCTGAAGTGTGGAAAGAAGAGGATACCTGGAACGGCAGGGAGGAAACTTGATTCTAGGTCAAATCTATGGTATCTACCTTTTCAGACTTGTATTATGTGTGTGTTGCTAGCAAGGCACATCCTTATGTGGCCTCAGAAAGAACCGGAAACTAGAGGCTCCTTTTCATAGAAGGAGTCTTAAAGGGGGCTGTGAATTGTCTTTTTAAAAAATTGATTAGGAAATGGGAAAAGAAATCTTCAGAATACATTTGCAATTGCACATATCTCTGAAGCTTTGTTTTTCTTTTTTGTTTACTTATTTGTTTTTGCATTAGTATGTGAGGTGTTTGAGATGGGGAAAAGGCGAGAGGAATCAAAAATATTGCTGCTTTCTGACATTGGTGCTCTGGTTTTGTCCCTACCACATTTGTTCAGCTTATACTGAAAAAATTAGCAAATGAAAAGTTTCCAAAAACTCAGAGTGTTTAAAAAAAACAGAAAAAAAAGTCTGGAGTTGCAGAGAAATTAGTGGGCTGTTCCTTTTAACCAAAGTTCTTGAAAAATGTTTATAATTTTTATCTTTATCATGAAAGCATTTTAGCCTGTATTTGAGTTTGAATACCCAGCTTGTTTTAGAGAGATTTAGACTAGACTGACTTAGTTCCAGGTGATTGCTGAGCTTTTCTAAAATTAGGAAGGTTTGACTAAGTGTTTGAAAAATCGGAGTGAAATCAGCTGCCTACAGATACTCAGAGTGGCCTTTACCATCTTAAAGGAGTGGACTGTGTGTTAATATGTCTCCCTTTCTTGCTCAGGAGAGATCATTCACTTCTATAATTCATTGTTGTCTGCTTTCCAGTGTTTTACAGCAAGAAATAGTTTATCAATTATGTGCATCGCCACCCTTCTCAAAAGTAGAGCTTTTATGGGATAATGGGATATGGTAGAATCCAAACTTACTGCTATCCTTTTTCATTAAAAAATTACTTGACTTCAGTTTCATCTTTTTGGCATAAAATCTGATATATCACGTTGACTTATTGTAAAATGTTCTGGAAAAAGTATACTCTAGTGGTGGCACAGTTCTCTGATGCTGTAGTGACTTTACTGGAAACCCCTTCTGTTCAACAACATAAGCAAGTTCATCTCTTATTGGTGCCTGTTCATGTAAATGTTAATTCTTTACTGTGCTGTGTCTGGATTTATTCTTGGTGCCTTGAGTTACTTTGTGCAGAGGATCTCACAAGCATCCTAAAATATGGCTTCTTTTCTGTACCAACATAACTAGCAATGAGCAAACAAAGTGGCACTGCTTTTCTCTTACGCATTTGTGTTAAATATAAAATGTAACCTTATTGTGCTACCACATGTCACCTGTTAGTCCTCACAGAGTCAGAGTGGGAAAGGCTTAAGTGTAAAGAAATTCAGCTACTTAAGGGGTCTTAAGTCATACCTACTGCTGCTGTTGCTGATTTCCTCATTTTTTCTTTTGTTCCTCTTGGAAGTGAGTTAATGCCACCCTCCACTTCACTCCCTCACACATTTGGTTGCAATACAGAGAGGGTCATATCCTTAATACATAACTTCCTTCTGTGGTGTGGGCCTATGTGACCAGCAGCATCCCTCCGTTATAATCTGGCTAAAGTGGTGGAAAGACTAATGCAACTCTTAATTACTGAGGTAGACACTGCCAATTACCTTTGCTTCTATGTCCATTGAATTGACAGGTTGGAATTGAAAATATCTGTTGCCTTCAAGCTTTTTAAGACAATTTCACATGGATATACAGCTTAGCCATAGCCATAGCCATAGCCCATGCTAACTAAATTTTTTGAGCGATGTTGTGCACCCAGCTCTTTCATGCTCTGGTGGAAAAGGAAGTAAAATAAGTTGCTTCCTCCTCAAGACTTTAAAGTCTTAAATTACACAAGTAAGTGCTTGGTTGTACTTGTACATGTACAAGGTACACTCATGTCTCACAGGAGCTGGATGAAGGCTTTCCTGGCCAGTTGCTAAATGGTCAGACAGAAACAAGTGTAATGGAAGCCTTGTGTGTAAGCTGAGGAAAGGCGTGATCTCTAACCAAGGTTCTTGGGTACACAATGTCTGCATTTAATAAGACTAAATGATTAAGAATGTGAGGGAGCACAGTGACACTATCTAAAATAGTGCTTGTCCTGGAAGCTCTTAAAGTTGTCCCATAACAGCAAAGCCTGAGGTTCGCACAACCTGAGTGGCATGACTGAGCTGAACGATCAGGAGGGCAGGCTGGTTCTGGGGGTGTCCTGGCCTAGCAGAAGGATAGAACCTTTCATCTTTTTAATTACCTTTTGACTAGCTGCCAAATACCACTTATAAACCAATGCTCTGATAAGACATAAACACTCCAGAATTAAGTGAATTTCCCTCTCAGTTTTACCACTTACATGCGTAGTTGGCTACCTGAAATTCATTACTTTCTAGTTTGGGATCAATTTGCTAGAGTTTTAGCTTTTCTGTGTAAAATGTCCACCTCTTGGTCCTTGTTCTAGATCAGCAGTGTGCGATAGAATTTTCTCCAATGGAAATGTTCTTATCTGCACTAAAACGATAATTGGTAGCCACTGTAGCCACTGTTACATTTAAATAGCCACATGTGGCTAGTGGGTACTGGATTGAACAGCACAA